TGCATCGTTCATACGTTTATCGCAGCGGGAGTACGTATGACAGTACTGGGGTTGTATGGGTCGAAGAAGCAGCGATGCGCTGTCGCTTGGGCAAATTACGGGCAGTGCAAGCGCCGACCATAGATCTTTTACCGACGGTGCTGGTTACGATACAGGGAGAAAAGAAGACCATCAAGCTTGACACTGGTGCTCAGTATAGTGTAGCCGGCCGGGAATGGCAGTTGCACGGCACTAAGGTGGATATGGTGCCTCCCGTAGACTATATGGAGGGCTTCAGTGGAATCGCCGTGAAGGTTCTGGGGGTCTGGAGGTTTGAATTCAGGACCCAGTATTCACAGCTCATGGTAGTGAACGCCCTGGTTGTAGACAGTGATACATCGGATTTCCTTGTCGGAGAAGACTGGATGTACGATCACGGCGTTAAAATTGATTTCGTATCTGGAGAAATGAAATGGTACGAGGATGACGTAAAAAAGATCGCTCCATTCACGGGCATTGGAGCTCGCGAGCAGTGTGGGCTTACGGCGAAGGTCAGATTGATAAGGAGAACTAAAGTGCAGGCGCAGACGTGTCACAATGTTGAGATCGCTGTACCGACGGCTGAGGACGGTACTGTAGGGCTCTTCATCCCGAGGACGCGGAAAAAACCGTACTTATTAATGGCACCAACACTAACGACCGCCCGTCACGGACGTGTGAAGGTTCCGGTGCTCAATCTTCTGGGTAAGACAACTAAACTACCGACGAGGGAAACACTGGGAACGTGGGCACCACTGGCGGATGAGATGTCGATACTGGAACTGAATGGCGAACTGGAGCGCGACAAGGTGAGCCAGTGGCTGGAGCAACTGAAGCTGAAGACAGCGCCACTGAGTAACGAGTCCACGTTGACCATGGGAGAGATGGACGCTGAGGATAAGGAGTTACTGCTACGGCTACTCCGGAATTACCCGGAGCTACTGGAACCGAAGGAGGGCTGTCCACCAGCTACTACTCTCGCAGTGGAGCACTTCATCAATACTGGAGAAGCAGCTCCGATAAAGATTCGGCCACGACGCTATTCCAAGACAGAGCAGGAAACGATTGACGAAGAAG